CTGTAAGTGATGCACTGTTTGTAACATTGTAGGGTGTGTAGCTATACTGCAGTCACTTAAAGTGCAGAGTAAAACATTAAAAACAATTAACTTAAAGGCCCAAAAATTCAAATTTGTAAAGTGAGGGAATGCTGTACATATATGCATTACCCATACTAAAATTATTTTCATGTATTTCTTGCTGAAGTATATGAAGCCACAGCCCAATCACCAAAATGGTGGCATTGGCTGTTTCCACAAAACCACAGATATTCATCATTTGTATGTGATTACAAATGGGTTATGAGAAGATAATGTTTGGGCTTAACATACCTGGTTGATGGCCACCAATGTCTCCCTTAAAGCCACAGTGTGTAGAAATTTCTCCCATCTATCGCTGAAATCATATATTGCGTTCAAACGGATACAACAGTAGCCGCTGTGTACCAAAAAGCTATGATAACACTGATGAAACCATGTCATCTGATACTTCATGGAGTATTCATTCAGGCTCCTACAAAGACACACACGACGCAAGTTGACAAACCCCCTCCTCACCATGCTGGCTGTGTTTACAATGTAGGACTGTTGGGGCAGGTGTAAATAGAAACAAACCAATCACGTCTTGTCTTTTGACAACTGACAAGTGGCTCACCCTCACACACCTCATCCCTCTCCTAGCATCACTGCGCTGCTAATAGCAGTGCTAACAGCGGTGCTAACAGCAGTGCTAACAGCGCTAACAGCTGGCTAACAGCGCTAACAGCTGTTAGCGGCCAGTGCCGCTGTTAGCTGCGATTGCATTGTCTTTCTCCTTCCGCAGCTCTCTTCACCCCGGAATGGCTACCCCGATGTTGACCCTCGTTTTTTGAATTCACCGGTCATGTTGCCTTTTTGATTCCCTTTTGCACTTTCTTGGAGACGAGGATTCTGTCTCCTGTGATGCTGCATATGCATGATCCTACATTATGCTCAAAGAGTCGGACTTTGTTATACTGCAGTAGTAGTAGGGTAGTAGTGAAGCGCCTCTTGCTCCTCTCCTTCGGTTTCTCAGTCACGCAGTGCTGGCCTGGCTCTCAACGAAAACGCAGAAGCCGGGGCTGTATGTCCCTTGCTGGCGGATGTACTCTCAAGATGGCGAAACGTTATGGAACCCCCCAAACCACTTATCCACCCAATGTACATACAAATCCGAAATTCTCCTTTTATGAGAATATTGTAAGTCAGATTATTTGTGGAGGTAATAGTACACCAATGATGACATATTTATGAATGCAGACATCGATTTTTGCCAATAAACAACTGAAAATGTTACACAATGTCCCTTTAAAAAAAAAGTTGTTTGTTGGTCTCAAACTGTGGTCTGCCAAGCACTGTCTTGCCTATAGTTGTCCAACACAGTCTCACTCCCAACTTGTCAAATATTGCCGTTTGGCCAGTGGACTGTAATATTTACATATGGCACGCTAGGTATCCTACTGCATCTGTTGTTGACATTCCGGGATGCAATGTCACTTTACACCTGCATTGTGTCTTTTCAAAATATACTTCAGTTTTCACAGGAAATGTACGGTGTCTGCTCAACCAGGTAACTTACGTCTGTAAAACACCTCATCTTCATGTCTACTTCCTTTTGCAGCAAAAGCACGTGGTTTGGTATAGAGAAAAAAATCATGGTTTGGCTTAACATTCATATATGGAACAAACACTATGCTCTCAGGTGTATAGCCCAGTGTTTTTTGGATCCATCTATCTCCCCTCATACAAGCCTGATGGGGATTTTCCAGCTCTTGAAATCATGTTGTTATGCAGCAGCATTTCAAACTCAAGCTGTCCGGCAGCATTATACACTGATGGGGGCATACCATACCACCATAAACGGCTGCTTTTTCTTGTCAGTGTCTGATGACGAAATCACTGAACAAGTGGTGGTATATAACAACTTCGTGGGTTGAGTTGCCACCCCAATTCACCTTCCCCCTCCACCTCCCGACACAAAGTCAGCTCATATAAATCTAATCAGGGCTACATCATTTTAGAAATGTTGAAATGATACGTATGACAACAGATATACAGAACAACGTCCCATAAAAATGAATTTGTTTTCTACACAGGTTATAACATGTCCCATTGGGTCTTTTATCATCACTCATCACACTCTGACACTCTCACTTCTCTCCTTACCGCCATTATACAATCTATTCATCTATTTAAGGCTTTTCTATTTCAGGTTAAGTAAAGGAAACATCCATTCCTCCAGGCACTGACACTAACGACTAGGTGTTTGCATTTGCTCTGTGAGGCAGTAACCTAACTTTAGCACCCCATTATTAGGCTCTGGGTTTGTCTGCTCCCTGGAAAGCCCAACTTCAAGTCTACTGTTGAAGACCTGTACTATCCAGAGCAGCTCTCCTGTTGTAACTGAGAGAAACTCATTTTTATCCTGGTTTATTTTAATTTCATTTAGATACATCCGTCTTCATAAGCACCCTGAGACTATGTGTGTCTCTGAATCTACTGGCTATTAAATTATTATGAGTTATTATACAATTAACAGAGGAGTTGAGGTTGCAATTAGACGTTAGTGGGCATCGTGTCTTACAGTTCTGTGGCTCTCTTGTTTGGCTGCGCTGCTTGTTGAGCAGCTTTTTAGTTTGTGCCCTTTTGAAGTGACAATTTGCTAATTTGTGATTAAAGGGAACTTGACCCCGACCCATTTATTGCCTTTCAGGGTTCTCTTTAAGTAGTGCAGCTGAGCAGCAACACCACAATCACTCCATAATTGACTGTTTCAACAAGGGTTTAATTTGATATAATGGACCCAACTTGAACCTTTTAGCGCCACATTACAAAACTGCTAGCAATGGGCCCTGTGGCAATGGTCTTTATATGTTCAAGAACTTTATTGCCATAAAACTGCTGCTGAAAAGAACAGATTTAGAAATGCGTGTTCTTGTGCAAAGAACTTCTGCCAAAAAATAACCTGTTGTACTTTACTTTCCAACAGTTCAGTTCTGAGGTACTTATAATTTTCTTGAGTATTTCCATTTTATAATACTTTCAGTCCACGACAATTCAGAGGGAAATATTGTACTTTTTTTTCCTCTTCATTTATTTGACACCTTTCATTACTAGTTTCTTTTCAGATTAAGACTATTCATATAAAATATAATTAACAAAAAACATTATGAAGTATTTTTTTGGATAAAGATAAGACTTGACTGCTACCTGGCAGTGTATATAGTTCATATTAATATTTAAATTATATAATATTTATTATTCTGAAATGGACCATTCTGCATATGTACTTATACTTTATTTCACTTTAATTATAGTTTGATCAAGTACTTTTGTGCTTTTATCTAAAGGGACACACACCAATTTTGAGCCAGCTTTGCTCCTTGCTTATGTGTTAACTCAAATTATTTCTTTTCGTGTCATTGTGCGGATTTTTGCAGGCTCCAGGGCTGCTGCTCAAAGTACAGATTGTGCTTAGTTTTTGTATACCTGCTGCCACCACGGACACAAGAGTATAGAAGCGGATTGAGAGACAGCCACCCCACTTTTCTCTCTTACAATCTCAGATCAAACTGTAAAACTAAGCAGTGTTGATGGGAAAAAAAGCTAATATTCTGTGACTGCATTGCCCACTACTTGCCATAAATGTCTTTAGAGGCATATTTTTGTGCACAGTTTGATTGTACTACTACAATTTGTGACCAGGAAGTGGGTGCTATACTGTTTCATGTATTACAAAAACAAGATTCTGTTACTGTGTTGCCTATTTCTTGTTTTTTTTCAGCATTATATTTGAACATTCCTGTTTAACAGGAATTTCGCAACACATTCTCACTCTGACCTGGTCGCATTTTGTCGCTTGGTCGTGCACTTTCCACATTGCCATGTGATCTTCAAGGTAGCCTGAGCATGTCTGCTGTTAATGTTCTGAGACGCCGTGTCAGCTTCAGCCTGTTACATGTATTGTGTCTTTTCAAAATACACTTGTGTATGTACAGTTTGTATACAGTCTCTTTTAAAGTAAATGTACTACACTGGTACAGCAGTGTGAATTTATGTTTTTTTTCCTTCAACAGCAAATGCATGAGGTTATGTTTAGCTAACATCCACACGTGTTTAGGTTTAGGCAGTCAAAGCACATGGTTAGATTTAGAAAAAATTCAAAGGGTGTGGCTTCACATTAAAACTGGAAGCGAACACTGGCCCTCCAGAGCCTTACACCAAGTCGGTGATTGCTGGACCCATTCACCACATCTCCCACCCACCCTACTCAGACCTTTTGCTCCCTTAACTTACGTTGTTGTCCAGTGGCGCTTAGCTCTTGATGCCGTCATGCGCCATCACACACAGACAGCACCTGGCTGAATGCAGCAATGTTACAAAAACTTCCAAGCAAGCAACCTAAACACAGATACATCTTTTCATGTTTTATGTGGCATTTTCTTTTGCCAATTTAATGACAGCACACTTTCCTCTCAGCCAAAACCACTTCCCTCCTGACACTATTTTTCCAAGGGCACCGTCACTGCATCCGGGGCTTAACGCCACCCAAGATGACTGCAATTAGTTTACAAAAATACAAACTACCCAGAGCACATTTTCCCGAAAATGTGTGAAATTATGATGCTTTCAACCATACCTTTCTCCAGCGCTGGCACAGCCCAAATTAGCTCTAGCTTGGCAAGACTATCTCTACAGTAACTTTAAACACAAGATATACTTGCCTGCCAAATCAATAGATGACAGTCTGCCTGTTAATCACATGGTTGATCAAAAGTAAAAAATTTAAGTACCCAAGCTGTTATGATGAGCTGCTAACCTTGATGTGTCACCATAATTACAATGTGATAAATAATTGATCGCCAACGGTGGTGTTTTTCTCCATGGAGAATGTGAGAGTTTATGCTACAGAGGCCCAGGCCTGGCTTCCTCCAACATAAATAAATAATCAGTAATAACAAATGATATATATAATGAATTGCCAGAAGCGCAGAGTGATTTACCTTGAGAGAGGACCCACTGATTGAGTTTGACGTGGTACAGCACAGAACGAAGACTCCAGTGTTGAACGAGGGGGTAACCAGACACCTCGCTGTAGTTCACCATACCTGCAATAATACACAAAAAACAAATTTATTGTTACTGAAGCAGGCTTTGGTGCTCAACTAAAGAGTGGCTCAGGGGAGTTCAGCACTACACCTGTAAAACCATACAGAAAAATGTACTATTAATGTGTTATTTACTCCTATAGAGGAGGAGATTGCAGTCTTCAGCGCTAGATCAAAGGGTGGCTCTACATCTCATTCTTGTTTACTTTACCACTTTACCTGAAGAACCACGAAGAATATTTGCAAAATATTAATATTATAGTAGATGACAGGTGGGAGTATCAAGCAAAGTCTCCGGTGTTAGATCAAAGTGGAGCCGGATCTACAGAAAAACACACAGGAAATGGCAACATTAACATAAAATCTATTCAGAAATAGTGATATGGTCAAAGGCAGGCTGAAGTCTTCAGTGTTTGATGAAAGCGAAGGCCAACATCTCACTTGAAAATATAGCACATTTATATTAAATATGAATATTTCCACATCAACCAGACGCCTCTAACTTTTTCCTCTTAGGAAATTGTGTCAAATCTAAAACCAATTTTCATCAATTTTTCGCAACATTCTCTTTGAAGCACAAGGTTCCTGCATGACACTGAAAATGATAACATTCAGATGAAGTACAAACCAAAGGAGAACAGTATATTTTAAATGAAAATGGGGCAGAGTCTGAATCTGAGAAGCTTTGGCACATCATTGCCGTTCATCATGTCTGATAAAAACATTAAAATACACAATGAAAGCATGCAAGATCCTTAATGCCTCGTCAACATTTCACAAAAATCATGAAGTGATTGAAAAAGTTGTAATACCATATAACGGCATAATAATGTCTTGATTTAGAATGTCCAATCTTTCACAATATTCTGTTATTAAGAATATTCACATTTTATCACATGTAAAATATCCCGCTGACAATGAGAAGGGCGTGATTAATGCATAATGAGGACTGATTATATTGATGTCACAGCCTAAACTCAATCAGACACAACAACCCTCTCTTTAGAGAGAGAAAGCTATTTAGACAAAAAAAATCAATTAGATTGAATCTAAGAGAATTTGTTAAGTTTTTAGTGAATATTTGTTTTGTTTTTACATGATAAATGATGACTAATTATCAAAACTGCTGGCAATCAATTTTCTGTGAACTAGATCTGGTTCCAAACTGATAAAATACTCGCTGAGATCCAAAGCCAATGCCATATCTCTTCTCTCCTTGTTTTTAAGATGAGCAATATGAAATAGATTCAGGTAGCAGGCCTCTCAATTTTAGCCAGCACTGATCTCCAAGTTAAGCAGTTAAAAAGACAAACGTTGCCAGCAGCAGATTATATCAGCGGAAACTAATTAATATCACACAGCACAACTCTATGAATACGAGCGGGCAACATAGTTTTGTAGTTTAACAAGACCAAGAGATTCTCTAGCTGAACAGTTAAGCTGTGTAACATCGTTTTAAACAGTGGGAGGCTTCCAGTCATGTTGTTGATGCAAATCATATCAATAATTTGACTTTTTTAATTAACTTAATAGTTCTGAATTGGGACTTTTAGTATTAGGAGCAAGTGAGCAAGCTTGCTTTAAACGCTAGTTTCAAGGATTACACTTCATTCTGAGGGGACATGACTGTGTGTACTAAATTTCGTTGCAATCTACCCCGCAGCTGTTGACACATTTCATTCAAAACCACATCAGCCATCATCAAATTCATCATTCATAAATTTCTGTACCAAATTTTGTGGCAATACATCAGGTTGCTGATGAGGCATTTCACAGGATAAGTGAAAACCCATCGCTAGAGGAAAAATCAAAGGATCACCAAAGTCATGACGACTTTTCCTCAGGGTCAGGAATGTCTGTAAAATATTTCATAGCAATCCATCAAACAGATATCTCAGTGGTCAACTGACCAACATCGCCATGCAAGGCCAAGGCCATGCTTACCTTGTCGGCAGTATATGTGGTGTGGAAAATAAGCAGGGTATATCTGTTACAATGTGTAAGATTTTGTCATATACAGCAGCTTGCTCCAAACTATGACACTCTAGGTACCCCTCTAGCACCAGATTTGGAAGTGTCATGCTCTGTGTCTGCTCATTACATGCTACAATGCCTTTCAAAATAAACTTCTGCCTGAACAGGAATTGTGGGTTTCGCCACCAAACCTACTTTAGGTTTAGACAACAAAAATACTTTGGTTTGGTTTAGAAAATAGGTCATGGTTTGAAATAAAATAAAATAACGTTTGCTACAGTAACTTAACAAGTATGTCACTTGACCACTATATAATGTGACAACTGTCAGATTTCACAAAAGACACAAACAGCGATCTCCTGGGTTAAAGTCGTGTGTATGTTTGACCAATACACTTCCTTCTACTATGTTATTTCCTCACATGATTATATTGCAGTTAAAAGCCCAGTGCATATCCTACAAGTGCTGTATAGTGCCTTGTGCCTTCGTAACAGCAGCCAAGGCCCAGTGACCATGCTGCTGTTTTAAAAGCACTGGGAATGACAAGGGGTTGGTTAGATACACATTCAGGAACAGGTGGGTTGTAAACAAGAATTAGCCTGCAACTGTACTGTTTCTGTCTATTCAACCAACTGAAAGTACCGATTCCATTTGAATTTTTATTACTTTTTAAACTTTACTCACACATAGATACTGAACCCAAATGGATTTGACAAGGGATTGGAGAGGTTTCAGATTCAATACTGTGACCTAGTGGAAATGAAAGAATGGAATAGTTTCTCTAATCCCTGTCTACATTGCTCTGATTCTTGCTATGTTTGTAAGATGGCAGAATTCAAACCTTATTGCTGATTTGACATGGGTGTTAAAGTTTAACTCTGAGTTAAAGATTATGCCAAGATTCCTGAGTTAGTTGGTGGCTTCCTGTGACAGAGAGTGGCAATGATAGTTAACATTTAGCCCTCCAGTTTTGTCTGCATTTAGCTGGAGGAGGTTCAGGCACCTCCGGTCATCTACTTGTTCAATTACCTTGAGAAGAAAAACAATGGGACTGTAGTTGCTTAGTCACAGAACAAGGTAAATATGGGCCATTGAAACCTATTAAGGTAACCTTTTTTAGGTTAAAAAGTTATTGCTGGTAGACAATGTTTTCAGTTATTACAAAAGCAAGGTTTGATAATGGTCTAGTTGGTAATCACAGATGTGTCTGGACTAAATATTGTATAAAAGATGTGGACATAGCCGAAGTGATGTCACCTATTGGTTTGTGGACTACTGTTTTTAAGCCTCAAGTCTGGCATTCTGGCTGTTACCACCTTGTTTTTTGGAGCCAGAAGGGACCATATTTGGATGAGATGGTGGAGCTGTTGAGCAGTGACGGGTGGGAGTGACTGAGAACCTGAGGACACTGCTGTGGTAGTGACTGAGCATACCCTATCTTATTGTCTATTTAAATCTAAATGAGACAATAATTTATGAAATGATCATCATGCTATAATGAAAACACTTGAGACTTTCGATTGAGACCATACACTCTTTCGAAAAATGTTTATCAAGGTAATATCAGGTGAAGTAGGGTCATTTTCTCATACACCTCTATAAAATCGGACTTCTGTTTGCAACCAGTGGCATTGCTTCCTGCCAGTCATTAGAAAAGAATGCAGGTTTAAGTTACTTCCACATTGGCTTCACTTTTTTGAGACCCAGAGAAAACCCCTTGATCCAGACTGCTCTTTTTAGGAGAGGTTTGATGACTACAGTTTTTAAGGCTTAGGAAAATTACCTGATAAAAGAGAGCTATTCTGCAATAAATCTGTCGCCGGCTGAAAACATTTTTAACAAAGCTTGTTGGTTGAGCAACAAGACAGAGGGTGGCAGCTTAAAATGCTACTCAATTTCTTCCAGAGTTCTGTAGTCACTAGCATCATATCTTGTTATTTTTGGCATATTTCTTTCACACAATTATAGAATAGGATTCATTTTTTCTGCATGATATGAACTTTTAATGGCTGATGTAGTATCTTGAATTTCTTACTGAATAACTTGTAATACAAGTCCTTTCCACCAAGAAATGTAATACATTTCTTGGTGGAAAGGAATTCAGATGCAATTGAGGAAAGGAGATTGCTCAGACTGTCAATGGTACTAAAAAGAGCATGAGTATTATTGCTATTGTTGCTGATGATAGAGAGGACAGATAACCTAGTCCTCAGTTCTAAATTCAGGGCTCAACAGCGCGAGCGTTTCACTCGCATTTGCGACTAAAAAAAGGGGTGTGCGAACTGTAAAAAATATTTAGGGGCACATGTGCGCATAAAAAAAATCAGCCGAAGCAGCCTATATTTTTGTCAATAAAAAAATATGATAATCTAACCTCAAATGTTGGAGGAACTCCAGCAGCTTTCCCTCTTCCCTCTTCCCCATGTGACACGGTTATGGGCGGTTTTCCAAGCCACTGTTGGCACAATGAATATAAGTCCCACTGTCGGCAGCGTGGAAATAAGTCAAAGTGTGGAGGAGATGGACCGGGTGGATCTCCGGGGAAGCCTGCTCCGTTCTTCCCGTAGTTCAAATAATTTCAACTCTGAGCGCAGCGCTCGGGCGGAAAATCAGAGCGGTGCGCAACAGCAAGGGTAGCAGTGCCGCTTTGTCAGGCGTTGCTGCCCTCTCCATAGATAAACAATGGGACAGCCAGCGCAAAGCGGTTTTACAGCTGACCATGTGTAGAGGCCTTAGGGACCGTTCGCCACGGTACTGCTGCTGGGCAGGGTGGAAATAAAGCCCTTTTCACACAGAGCGCGCAAAGCGCAGACCTCCACCGACAAACCCATTCATTGTGTATGTGCTACTGCGGCGCAAGAGCGCACCGCTCTGCCGCCGAGCGGCGTGCGAGTATCTGCGTGCCGCCAGCCTGCGCTCGAATTGAAATTTTTTTAATTTCACCGCAACGCGCTGTGACGACACCTCGGCACCGCGCGTCCAATAGCAGAGAAGGGCCTGAAGTAGACCCGGAAGCGGTCACCATG